GTTCCGTCTTGCAAACTCATGAGTACCATAGCATTCTCCGAAAAAAATATTCCCGCATTCCCATGCATGCGCCGCATGATGCCGCATTCAGAATTTGTGTAAAAAATCACATAATTTTTAAGCTATTTTTGCCACCTTTCAGTGCGCGCAGTGGTGCCATGTATTTTTCTTTCTTTGTACATGTTGTTGCCGCCCCTCAAACTTTGCTAAGTTTTGACCTAGCTGTGCGTAAATCCAGCAATGAATCTCACCATTTTCTACGATGAAATGAGTAGAAAAAGATTCAAAATATGGTATAGGCGCTGTCAGATGCGATTGTACGTGGTGAAACCAATTTTAAAAGAACCTATGGTTACCTCCTGCTCATGGAATTTTATCGTGAAAATTGTCTAAACATAAGTATGGAAATTTTAAAGAAAACATTGCTATTCTAAAACCCTTATATAGAACCTCAGATTTTCGTCAAAAAAGTAACATCGTTGCGTAGTCTTAGCAGTACCTGATAACGCTTATGATGTTTTAAATTTCCGCTCATAAATGATCTCATTTATATGATGGTACATGGTAAACACAAGTCATAAAATGCTTAAATTCGCCCTTAATATTTGGCCGGAGGTGCAAGAATTTTGGAGTCGTCATCAACCATGTAATTTGTCCGTTTAATAGTCAGACAAAAGCCTCTTGAATATGATTCTTTGAATCGATGCCTCAAGGATTTTTTGTCTGGACTGATTGTAAGACTGTTCCTTTCTAAAACTTAATTGCTTCCAGTTCCAGGTGATGAATCGTGTAAAATTCTGACTCTCATATATTCAGACTTTTTGGAGAGCTGACGAATAATTTGCGAATAAATCCCCTGGTAAAAATTTGCAGTAGAATCTGTGTTCCAAAATACCATAGACCTACAGCCGGCTGTAAGATTTCCAATAGCTTCTATAGCCGGCAACACAATTTCTTATAGCCTTTTATAGCCGATGGCGATTAAGCAACAGCCTGGCGATAAAGTGTATGCTAAACGTTATTAATTACGGATGCCAGGACTTAGTGAGTTTTTGGACTACCACTCTCTTTTTGGGCCGCAGTATCTTGATTTATTTTGCGAGAAAAGCTCCGTACTTTTGATGGATGCCTGCCATTCCTAATATATTAGAGCGCCTTCAGTTTCGTGTGACACTGCGCAATACCTCCGGTGCGAAATAGTTGCTTCAAGCGCCGTGGTACGCCGCGGCGCGGCGCGGCGGGCGGGCAGCCAGCGCGAAACGCGCATCGGCGCCTTCAAACCTAACAGGGATACTTCACGCATTGCGCAATGCGTGAAGTAACCCTGTTAGGTTTGAAGGCGCCAGTGCAACGCCGCTCCGCTTTGTGTTAGGCTCTAACGTGGAGTCAGCGTTTTTCAGCTCATGACTTTGAAATGTTTGCACACTCTGTATTATGGATTACTCTCATTTTAATTGATGAAAAAAAAAAAATATGTATTAAGGGAAAATATAATGTGCGTTTTGTAAATATTAAGGTGATTCCGTACAAACTTAAGGATTTACAAAGCACACGAATTTCTACACAATTTCTTATAGCCTTTTATAGCCGATGGCGAAAAAGCAACAGCCAGGCGATAAAGTTTAAAGCCCGGCGATAGGAACTATAGCCCGGCTGTATAATTTTTTATCGCTTCGTGTAGCCCGGCCGTATGATTTTTTCCACATTCTACAGCCAGCTATATGATGTCCTATCGCCTTCTTCAGTCGGCTATAAGAACTTCTATGATATTTGAAATGCAGCTCCTATCGCCAATTTTTACCAGGGTCATGCGAATCATTTCATTTATAATTTGCTAGATGTGACGACGGTCCATAAATAGGGAAAAATCTTGCTCCTAAGAAACCTAATTTAAATGCAGTGGTAAGAGTGGAGTCCGTCAATAAATCTTCTGAAGTCGATTAATTGTCCCATCAAGAGGATCGCGTTAATGTTTGGCGGCCGTGGCGCAGAGCACGCTCTGGTTAATGACCTTTACCCAACGCGACGTCCCGAGGTGTTGCACCTTGAAAGCGATTCTTCAATTAAGTCTTCAAATTAAGTCAAATGTAAGTGAAATTACCAAAAAAAGTTACAATAGTCGTTTCCCGAGCAAAAGAACGTAGCAATGTGAATTACTTATTTTCATATTGATTTTTCTAAAAATTAACCAAATTAGGATATATAGCAATAACTCACATTTAGACTTTATTTTGAACTATATTACAATTAGAAACTATAAATTCTGGCTCATCCGAAAAAACACGTATGTGCATAAGGAAACTAATTGTTCATACGTTGTTTTTATACTGAGCTAGAATTCATAGTTCCTCATTGCAATATGTAGTCCATTTGTAATATTAGTAGGGTTTGGTAGGGGTTTGATGCTAATGATAGTAGCAATTCCTTACGAAAATTTTCTACAAAAACCTCTCTGATCGGCTTTAACTAGTGCTGGACCGATCGAATAACATCCTCCTGAAGAAGAAATTGTCCCGGAATGAGCTTTTTCTCTCCGTCGGGTGACAATCAAGTTTTGTACCTAATGAATTTAACGCGTGATGGTAAACATACCATCTCCCCACTCATCTTTGAAAGAAAGAACTTACTGCTACTCTGCCGTGCTAAGGAAAAACGCCGTATGAACATTCGTGAGTTGCCAAATTTCCTTCGATAAAATGCTCATTTTTGAGGAACGCTAGAAATATTTTTCCTTGAAATTTTCAGGAACTTTAGGTAAAATTGCGAACAAAATTATCTGAAAAATTGGAGGGAAAATATTTACAAATTTTCCCAAAAATTCGCGATTTGTGGAAGGAAATTTGGCAACGCCTGAAGGTTCATACGGCGTTTTTCCTTAGCACGGCAGTACTGTCCACTGATTTTTTGCTGGATGAGGATTAATGTTATGTTCATCGATTCCTTCCACCAACATCTGTTTACGAAAGCAACGCTACGCATTGAACAAGATTTGGCCCGAGCTCAATACTTTACGTAATTTACCTGTTTTAGTTTAATTCGAATGCAAGATATGGAGTTGAGTAATCCGAGGTGAAAGACCCTAATAAGTTGTCGAGCAAAATTGAAATGCATAGGTAGAACATTAGAGTTTAACAATGCTAACTAATTATGTGTAGGCTGTAATTTAGTCTTTGGGATAAAAAATGTGAAATCTTTGCCTCCTTAATATGTCTGGGAGGGATTCTCAAAATGACAATTGAACTGAAACATACGAATGAAAGATTTAGCAGTCATACTTATCGCCAGGTGTGAGTTTCCGTACCGACTTTCAAAAAACTTGAATTCACTGCGGACAATATGGTCAGCGCGAGGCTCTCTTATATGATATCGCACGAAGAGAAATTATTGTAAATATTACAATTTTTTGGCCCTGACAACGATCGACGGATGTTTTACGCAGCATATGCATTTTTATAACTTTATGTTGAACTATGCAAATACTTCTGAGGGCCTAAAAATACAACATGACCATACAATCTACCCTACTTTAACTGATTAGAACATAATTACAAAAATCACAATTTAACCGTCAAAACTGACAGCTGGCGCGATCGTCACATTTTTATAAACAAGGAAGGCTAAATCACTTCTGGCTGGTTGAGATTTCCGCCCCCTCCTGTCACGGGGGGGGGGGAGGCGGAAGGGGAGTCCGGTGGGCTTCACCTCAAAAAGTTTTTAAATTTTAAAGCATCTAATATGCAGTTTGAGTCAATGGAGATGTTGCATGTGTGAGGAATTTGCGATTTTACTGTTGATTCTTATGTGTAAAACTTCGCGAGAAACACGATGGTGTCACTGGTTTTCTCTGAAATTAACTCCCAAGCTCAAAAAAAGCTCTCAAGTTGAGGTCAAAATGGAGGGGATATCCCACGCGATCCTGCATCTTTCTTCCCTCCGTTCCTACCCTCTTTCTTCCTCCTTTTTTTCAGTCGAACGGGGAAGGCGTACGCCCCATACGCCCTCCCCTTCCCCTTTGCTCACTGTTAAAAATGGAGGAGTGATGTTCTATGCTAGAGTACACAAGTCCAGGTAATCTTTTCCCTGAGCACTGGGAAAAAAAACACATTGGATCTAGAGGCCAGACTCTTTAAAACATCGACAAGAAAAAATACTCTTGATTCAATCGGATTTTAGCTTTAATCAAGAACCAAGCCTCTTAATTTTAGCGAATTTCCTTTGGATTTACGCTTAAGTCTGATTGAATCCTTGTCAATGTTTTCAAGAGTCTGGACTCTAGATCCAATGAGTTTTTTTTCCAGTGAGGGTTGTCTGATCATAGAAATTTTCACCGAATTTTACATAAGATTTGACCCCTTAAGCAAAAGATGCCAGAGGCGGGCCTAAGATTCGCCGTTTAGAGGGCCATTACGAAACGACCGGGGCACATTTCCACTCGTGGACGAGTACGTATGTCGTGGACGTCGCATCGCGTCGCGGCGCGTCAATGGGGATGGGGTGCGGGGGTATGCTAATCGCTAATGCAATTAGCTCCTACCCGACTCGCCCGCCGCCGCCGCCGCGACGCGACTGCAGCCGCGTTCGCGATCGCGGGCGTCCTTCGTCGATGCGGCATCTCTCTCCTGCCTCCCGAGGTCCTCATCTTAACGACCGCTCCTCTCCCTTCCGCCCTCTCTCTCACCTTTGAAAACGCGGACAATATCATGAGATCCTCCTCTTGTTTTCATTCGGGCTTCCTCAGTCGGAAACTGTCCGTTCTTCGTCCAACAACCTCGTTCCAAAGGCAGGTGAGTCGCCTTTTTCCAATCGGTTTTATCGTCGGTCAGTGCTGAGATCTTCACGCCGCGCAGTGGATCGAGTCAATCAAAGAAGTCGGTCATGAAATTTTTTACTGTAACTGCAAATTTTGATGTTTCATTCGTCATATTTTGAATTTTTTAAGGGGTGTTTCTAGAAAAAAATTTCACGAGAAAACCAATAGAACCACTTTTAAAATCCTGAAGTTTTATATAAACGGAGTTATAAGTTTTTAAAGTTTCCAAATTTTGTCCGACCTCTCCTATTACCTCGATTCACTGTGCGCCGCTTGATTCCAGAATTTTGAACATTTTTTCAGTGGACGCTTTAAGTTTTTCTCGATTTGAAGACAGTCGAGAGGGTCAGCTGAAAAGTTTTCTTTGACATAGTGATAAAATTTAAATTTTAGTTTTATCGAGTTCTCGGCATCAATTTTGCAGAATGTAAACCCCCCTCCCTCTCCCTCCCCAAAAAAATGGAATTACAATCGTATTTTTCCCGGACGAAACGCACACGTGCTTATGATGTATACCTGAGATAATGTATTCTTTCATTCGTCCCTTTTTTCTTAAGGGGTTTTTATCTTATTTACAACTTTTTCTCTAAATAATTAATATTTTTTCGTATGAAATATTCTCTAAATCGTTTATTAAAATTGGTCGATTGATTCCATTTTTATCGAGCAACAAGAACACGAAGTGCATATATTTAGCTGCGCCAGATAATGAAGCGTTTTTTTAAATCAAATTTTCATTAGGTTGAAACGCGTGGAAGGTGTGCTCTCCAAATTTTCCCATGGTATGAGGCATTTGAGACAAAATTTTACATGCGTATATATATTTCAGATTCATGAAATAAACCCGTAATTTGCACAATCTTTAACACGTCTAGAGGAAGAAAAATACTGTGAATTTTTGCTTGATAGGCTTCTTACCCGTCTCGTATAGAAATAGACCCGAATGAGTAAAAAGTGTTTCTGAAGTGTTAACCTCGTTAGGTCGCATGAATTGGATCGACTTTTTAGAAGAAAAGAAAATAAATAAAACTCGCTTTTGCGATTTGAAAATTATGAGAAACCGGCACTTTACGAAGTTTGGAGAAATTTATGCTGAAAGTATTACGTCCAATTATAGCGGTAACATTTGAAAATTCTGCTGATTTTCTCTCGTATTTAAAAGAAAAATCAGTGCACTTTCCGATCAGGAACGCCTGCAGTTTGCTTGCAATATTAAAATCACTATTGGAAATTTGACAACGTTGCAATAAAGTTAAGCTCTTTCGTTTGGTGAACGACGAGCTCTTGCCCTGATCAATGATCCATTAACGGCAAGGTACGATCGATGTACTTTGCTCTCGTGACAAGATCTCATATTTGATTCTGTGCATTGTGTCAACAGAGAAGAAATAGGTCAACCGCAGCGGTGAGACTGCACCGATGCACGGACAGAACAAACAAACATGCATTCAGACACAAATAGTGACCCTACAATGGACTCTTGACGATCCTCCTGCGACCCCACTGTCGGAGTTTCACCACTTAACCTTTTAATATAGAGCACATTCTTCTTGGCTGTGTAGCTACGAGTTGAACACTTCACTTACGCCAAGTGTACATGCTGAAATTAGGCAAAGGATGTTTCCTATTGAAGAGGGTATTTTGGGCATAACTTTGGTCGAAAATTGAAATAGCTTAGAATACTGTCATGTATAGTCAAATCGACTCTTAATCATCTACCCTGTGAGAACTTGTCCTTATTTGAGGTGTTTTTGAAAGGCTTTTGCCTGATTTACCAGCGCAAAGTAGTGATGTTTTGCAGTTTTCTCGAATAATTGCTCATTTTCGGTCCTAAATTAGATTGTTTATGTATGAGCGCAAGTGACTACCACTTTCTCCTTTAAATATGTTGTAATGGGTGTACTAAAGATTAACATATTCAAATATGAAATTGGCAGTCCCTTGCGATCATACATAAACAATCTAATTTAGGACTGAAAATGAGCAATTATTCGAGAAAACTGCAAAACTCCACTACTTCGCGCTGGTAAATCAGGAAAAAACATCTCAAATAAGGAAAAGTTCTCACAGGGTAGATGATTAAGAGTCGATTTGACCATACATGACATCATCCTAAGCTGTTTCAATTTTCAACCAAAGTTAGGGCCAAAATACTCTCCTTATTGGGACACATCCTTTCTGCAAGTAGATTTGGTTGACTTTTTTTAACTAGATCGGCAGGGTTGCAAATCAGAGGGAAAAAACGCTCTGCTGAAGTCAGAACTAAACTCAGTTGCTTGATACATTTTGGCTGACGTTTACATCCATCCGATTTTTGACCCATTTGGGGGGGGGGATGTCAAGAGTTTTGAATGTGGCCGTTATTGCTGCCAGTATGAAAATCAAATGCCATTCGGAGGGAATTTTGTTTTGCTGTAACGGGGATTGGCAGTAGGTCAAAATTTCGAACGAAACCAGTCGCGGAAATTCGCCAATGGAAGCTGAAATCGGGAGTCATTGGAGGTCGGTGATTGCCCAACCGACCCGTAAATTTGAGTTTTTTTTACCTAAATTCATGCAAATAGCTAAAAAAAACAGCCGATAACAGTTGCGCCCGCGATCCTCATTGCTTGCTAAAAATTGTGCCAAGGAAAATTTCCAAAAAACGTCGATGAACCCAAATTTTAGCATGTTGTTAGTTAACAATTCATAAATTAGCCGACAAGCCGATTTTTGGTAAAATTCAGCAGCCCTCAAGCGGATGAAATGGCCATGAATATCCGTAGGCTTACAGTCCTAAAGATTAACACTCCACTTTTGCTCGAATACGAGTGGAGGGTTTTTATTTGTCCATGCGTGCTCGCACATTCAAGGTGAGAACCGCATGAAAACTTAATGAGGGCTGGGCAACTCACCCTCACCATGAATCATCGCTATTTTAACTTGATTTGATAGGAATGGGCGCATTGTATTGAATTTCTGCGGTATCTTGATTTTTTAGCCTTACCAATACCTATTTTTGAAACCTATTAAATTCCTAGGAAGAAAAAAAATCAAGCTATTCTCTAATAAATGTTGAATTGTATCATAAATTTCGAAATAAATTTTTGGAGCTCCTTATAGAAGTGAAGTATTAAAACGTGACTTTATGTATTGTGCTGCAAGTGTTTATCTTCAGTACGTGGCACCCTAGGGGTAGTTTGGGTATAGCCGGGTTAAAGATGGCGCATTAAGGGCATGTATATTTTATGGAATGCTTCATGATTCGGTCATTTTCGGTCTCTCTTCAGGTCTAATAGGGTCTGGAACAGGGCCGGATTAAGGGGGTGGCCACATGGGCCGCGGCCCATGGCGGCAAATCTATAGGGGGCGGCAAATTTTGCAATTTTTTTAAATGTAAGTATAAAAAAAATCGGATTTAGAAAGAAAAAATACTAACGAGAAAAGGCGACCAAATCTCTCATTTCCTGAGAGTATAGTAATTTCTAATTTTGTCGACTTTCAGTGATACAAGAGACAGCACCTTTAATTAGTTGAGTTAAGAAAGAAACCAAACTAGCAATTTGGCCTGGAACGGCGCGACTTAGAGAGAAATGATGACGAGGACTTGAGATGAAAAGGAGAAGCCCTCGGCGCGACGATCGGCATGTAACACATACTAGCGCCTACAAGACAGCACGAATACTTCACGCATTGCATCAAACATAGTGCGGTCATTGCTGTCAGCGTGAAAAGGATAGTGCCTACAAGAATGCATGGATACTTCACGCATTGCGGCAAACACAGTGCGATCAGCGTGAAACGTATAGCGCCTACAAGACTGCGTGAACACTTCTCGCATTGCGCCAAACACGGTGCGGTCTGCCTCGACGCGGTGGTGGAAGTTAAAATCATTAATCCACATTTATGTTTGTTCTTTCATAATTTTTTCGTTCATCTCTTATGAGTGGAAGGCCTTGTCCACACAGAGATAGGTTTACGAAACTTAACTTTCGCGCAAAGTTCCGTGAACTTTTGCTGGTAGTGTTGACAGGGCTTTCCCAAAAAATGTGTTCAACACGAGTAAACGCGTCTTATGCACCCCTCCCCCACTGGCACGTTCATTTGATAGTTTTTCTTGATGTTTCGAAGCGAATGAGAAGGGGGCGGAAAGATACAGGCGGCCCATGGGCGGCAAGTAGGTAAATCCGGCCCTGATGAAGGGCATGTATATTTTATGGAATGCATTATGATTTGGTCATTTTCGGTCTCTCTTCAGGTCTAATAGGGTCTGGAAATTGGTTTAAGGACAGATTTTTACAGAGAATGTGGATTTTGCTGGTTTTCGGTTGAATGCCAAAAAATCCGCATTTTTCGCCGAAACGGGCTCTCAGGCCAGGCCGAAACCTAAACATCGCCTGTTAGGATCAAATGCCTTGTTAGCATTTGATCCGAATGGACACCGGAAATGATGACCACCAAACGTAAATCATGATGCATTCCGTAAAATATAGATTTTCAATGAGCAAAATATCGTAGAGTCTAGGAATTTCAGGGTGGGCCCAAAAAGAGGTCCTTTTTCGATACCCCTCCTTTAATAATCCGGCACTGGGTTTCAAAAACAGCGCGTGAGCCAGTTTTTAACGCTCATAATATTATGGTAAAATGCACTGATATCTGACAAGAACTGGCACTAGCTGGTATCTTATTCCATATTCGAGTAATATTAATTGCAACCATTAGTGCTTCTTGAATTATTCAGTGTGACTTCGGTATAACCAAATGAGATTAAGGTCCCTCTTGCCCTCTCGCTTAAACCGATAAGGTTACTGCGATTTAGCAAGCCTAAAGTTTCAAAAGTAAACACAGCCGTTTTCTTCGGAGGGCGTTCGAGTACTACGTGAGACAGTTTTCGGTCCCCACTGTAATTAACCCTTGTAGTGTAGGCATGACGCAAATCTGTACCTTCCTCTGGGATTTCACCCAAATCAAACTGTCATCTATTTTTATATGGAC